CGTCGACACCGTCGATGATTGCCAGCAGAGACCGCGGAGCCCACTGAAAGTCCTCGACCGAGACCACCTCGCCGTTCACAAGTCGAAGCGCCTGGCCGGCCGCCGCTGACGAACCCTGCCTAGGCAGTGTCAGCGGGTTGACGTCGCCGGACGCCGTGAAAAGCCGCTTTTGAAGGATTTCGCCGAGGCTGATGGGCGTGTACGCCTTGGTTTTGGTGTGTTCATGCCACACCCTGGCCAGGACGGACTCCGCGCCGGCGAGCATGTTCTCAGGGAAGCGCCGCTTCTTGCCGTCGAGGAGGCGGTTGTTGTAAAACGTCGATCTGGCTGGCCCAGCAGGCGAAGGTCTTGGGGATCTTCTCGTCGGGGTCGACCGCCATGCCCGTCGAGGTCACCGTCGTTGTGGGCGTCGAGGCCGGTGCCGGCGTGGCCGGGGGAGGCGCCATGGCTACATTGCCTGCGCGCCTCCCGCCACATGTGGGTGATGATGGCCCTCACCTCACAGTGGCGTGGTGCTCGGGCCGCGCCGAGTGCTCGACGCCGTTGATGGTGCACCCCGCCGTGAACGGCTCGACGACCTGGTGGACCAAGTCGGGGACGTTGTCGACGATGAGCGCGAGGGTCGCCGTGCGGTCCAAGCCCTTCGCTGTCAGGTAGTCGACGAGTGGGGGGCCTGCCCCCGCCTGACGAGCCAGGTCCGCGAAGGCTATCATCGATGACGCCGCCGTAGCCGGGGTCGAGGTGGCAGCCATGCGATGGAAGGCAGCGGCCGACTAAGGATCCAAAATTGCTACACCGTTGAAGGGGGTCACCTCAGGTACAGCCGGCACAAGGGCTTGGATCCTAATGTGTACATGCGTCGCAAGCTGTTTTCACGCGCCGATCCTGGCACGACCTATATCGGTCTGCGCCGACGTCAGTCGATTTCTACTGCCGCTGAGGCGTCTGAGCCGGACTCCGCCAATAACTTGGCCGCGGTCGACGACGAGGACGACTCCCCCTGGTCGTACCTCTGCCTGTGCCGGTGGCACCTCATCCTCATCGGCGGTGGCGGCCTCACACGCTTGGGGGTAACTCCCTCGCGGTACCGCCTCTCTTCCTGGCAGGGGAAGCGGAGGCAGGCGTCTGGGAGGCATCCCGTCGACGAGTCGGTAAAAGTTCTTGGCCCCATAGTACCAGCGGCCGCAGGGGGTCACCCACTCGGCTCTTTCGAGGTCGGCCTCGTTGGGCTTGTGTACCTTCAGCGTCCGCGGGTGCATTACCAGCGTCGGCTCCAGCGTTCATACCACTTCAAGTACGCCCTTCTCCCGGCGGCCCTCTGCCCCGGGCGCCGCTTGGGCGTTCGGTCCACCCGCCCTCGCCCTCTGGGCCCATCGCCGCGTTACCAAGGCCAACGGCGCGCTCTGGGTGTACCTCGGCCGAGCAGCTGAATCACCGGGGTCGGGAGCCGTGAGCTGCCAGGAAGGAGGCGCCTGCCACCCGAGCCGCATGGCCGCCCCTCGCCGCCTGCAGCACCTGTCGGAACTTGTGGATCACAGCATGCTTCAGCATGAATCCGCCGTCCTGCGCCGGCAGTAGCGGGTCGTCCTGCCCAGTGGACCCTCGAAGACGCAGCCACATGGGTCGCCGTGAGGCCGAGGTCTTTGAGCAAAGCCGATCCCAGCTCAATTTCCCTGAGCATAAACCAAGCGACGATGACGACGACGTCCGTCATGTGGGCGACGTCCTCGGCGGAGAACGGCGACGCCGCCGTCAGCACTACCAGCCGGGCAAGACAGCCGAGGGCGAACACCTCTTTCAGCCAAATGCCCGACAGACCCCTCACGATGGACTTGACCACCCTTCGGGCCTGTCGCCGTAGCCAAGGGTTGACGGCCGTGCGCAGGTGGACTTTCTGGTGCTTGAAGGCGTCGTCAAAGTAATTCTGGGCGGAGCGGTCGCCAAGTCCTCAGGCGAGACTCGACGGGCTGGTGGGACGACCTGGCGAGCATGCCTTCGTCGAGGTTGTCGAGCGCCCTCTTTCTGTTCGCCGATTGCGCCGCCTCCAGCCCAGCCGAGAATGATGCCCTCAACGCCGGTCTCCGGATAGGGGCGTCGGGCCTGGGTGGCCAAGGCTGAGTGGCAAGCTGCGACTGGCCGGCCGACGCCGTAACCTGACTTGCCTCGACGATCTGCACTAAATGCTCAGGGGGAACGCTGTCAAGCACAGGGCCCCGACGAATGTCGTCGATGCAAGTGACGCCGGCCTCGGCAAGCACAGGCAGAGCTGCCGCTAAACCGGCGGCGATCGCCGCTTCCACCACCTGAGCGAATGTACCTTCGGGCGCCGGTGCGTCAGAAGCCATAACGGGCCTGCACCGATTGTTGAGCCAGACGACTTGAGCCTACGGGCTTCTGCCGTAGCGTCGTTACCAAACCTGAGCAACCTTCCGACCCTTGCACTGCAGACGTCGGGCCCCGACCCTTGATTTTGCCGCTGTTGCACTAAACAAGTGCGCCGGTCGTCTTAGCGCCGGGCGGGCCTCGCCAAGTAGGCTAGCCAAAATGGCGCCGCAAATTAACCCTGACAAAGGCCGGTTAAAGGCCGAAAGCGACGGGGGGCTTACGACCCCGCCGAGGTTGGTGCAAGCGCGTCTGCGCCGAGTAAAACCGCCGAGCGGCGGGACAAAAGGTGGTGGGGCGTCGCCCACGCCGAATTAATTAGCCAAGGGGGCAGGCGTCACGAGCAAAGGCACCCGTCGAGATGAAGTCGGGGATGCCGAAAAGTCGCCGATGACGCCGAAGAGCCGCCGATCACCTGCCGGCAAAGTGGGCCAGGTGGTCGTGGTCGGCGGGGCAGGTATGCCCGGTATGCCCGTTGCTGACGCCGAGCATACAAAGGGGTGCCGCGCCGGCATACAGCCGCTGGAGGGCGGCGAAGTCGGGCATAGCCAGGAGCTCGAGGTCCTCGGGCAGCACCTCGATGGAGCATGCGCCGCGGCCCTCCCGCCGCTTGTAGGCGGGCCAGTCGATGTCCGGCACAAAGACCGCCGTGTTGAATCTGACGCCGCCGGGCCGTCGAAGCCTTCGGGCAGGTCGTCGTCGCTGTCCTCCTCGTCGACGACCTGGAGCGGCGGAGGGATCTGCAGCGCCGTGGACGTAGGGGGCGGAGCCGTTGTCGACGAAGAGGATGACGTCGAGCCAGCCGCCCCCGCCGGACCAGTCAGCAGCAGCGGTCCATGCCGGTCATGTCGGTGCGCCGGCTTTGCCCTGGCCTCCTCAGGCGACGGGAAGTTGCCGAGGCCGCCGCCATCGCCGGCTCTCCCCCAGTTGCCGGTCTCCTGCGCCGCATTGGACATCTCTGCGGCGATCTGTCGCTGCAGCGGGGCCGGCTCTGGGCCGGGCTGCCGCAACTCCGTCGGCGGGCGCTTCGCCATGAGGACTTCCGCCGGCACATCGGGCCAGGCCGACGCGTCGATGTTGTCCCCCCTGAACGGGGGGGGGGCGGAGCGTTTGACTGCGGCTGCGCCGATGGGTACGGCGGCAGCGCCGTTGGCTTCGGCTGCGCCATTATGGGCGCCGGTGCCATTGTCGGGCCCGCCATAGGCCGCCAAGAAACCGGC